TTCACATGTGGGGGGGAGGGGGGGGGAGGAGTTCCATGTTAAGTTTAGGAAAAAAAATTAGGGGAATTTTTTTTAAATTGGAAGGAGGGGGGGGGGGGGGGGTCGTGCCTCCCCTTCGACCCCCGTCTTGCCCTCCTCTTAAGTTTCCGTCACAGTATTGTAGTGATGGTGCCGCTGCCCGCATGTCTTTTTTGGTGTCTCCATTCCTTCCCGCTATCCTCGATCCTCATCCTTGCCCGCCTCCTTGCATATCCGTGGATTGCAATCCAACGTGATTCACACCCGATTCACACAATTTTCGCATCCAACAAGACCTGACCTGGGTGTCACCCCTCTCTATGTTTGACTCTCGTCTGATTCTCGCCTCTGCTCTAATCCCGCCGCCTTTTGTGTCGTTTCAGTCTAAGATGGCGCCGCTTCAAGCGTGCCTCAAGGAGGCCGGAGACTGCCGGACCCGCGATGACTTCGAGAACCACACCAAGGCCATAGGGGAAGCCATGGGTGAGAGACGATACAACACAAGCGCGCGTGCATAATACGCAACAGCAGCGTGATTTGATTTTTTCCATCGTTGGGGGAGAGATACAGAGAGTCCCCGTACAGTATGGTGTGACAACGTACATACTATGTGTGATGCCATGCACCAGTGCCGTACGCCACTGGCCAAGAGAGACGGCAAACCCGCATTTGTTATTGACACTTGGACACACCTATATATCTGCATTAGACTGTACCGTATGTGCACCGCCCGCGGAAGTCCAGGAACAAATCGAAGGCGGGTGCTGAACCATCCGTAAATTGCTGTTTTTCGTGTGGGGTCTCTTTTGGATGTTTGGTGTTGTTTTTCTATGCAGGATGCGTCTCTTGGGTGATGATGTACCCCCCGGCCGGTCTGCCGAAGGACATGGTAGAGCCCACCATCGGAGGGTCTGACTACTGGGCCAACAAGGTTCGGATGCAGTACCGCAAGACCAACCCTGAACAGGTGAGCGACTGCCGGGCTTTTGCCAGGCACTTGGTAAAAACGTTGCAGAGGAAGTTCCGAGGGCGTGCTTCATTCGGATGCTTGCTTTTGGATGTCCTGTGGGTGATGTTTTGTGGAGACTTGTCGATGCGGAGACTTGATAGCAGCGGGTGCTTGGCATCGATGCTGGCGGCGCGTGTGGAGGCGTTCTGTCATCTCCGCGTGCGTATGTCTCAACTTCTGCTGCCCGTACTTATGCCGAGCCACTGCTGTGTTGCAGAGCTTCTGAACCAAACCAAACAGATGGAAACCGGAAACCCTCTGGGTCCTTTCTTCCGTGTTTTCTTGGGCATTGTGTGATGGTTACGTGTTGTGGGTAGCGTGTGTGCGAAATACACCGACTCTCCCCAAAACCAACGACGTTCCGCAGCACCTTGAAGGCGTTGTTGTGCCTACTCCTCCAAACTGCGTGCTCCGTTGCCAGAGCTTTCTTTCTCCACTACGCCAGCAACGTCCACTCAACATACCTTCCTCTTCGTTCCGTGTCGTGAACGAATGATTTATTTTCAACCTAGCCTGCACATAATGTATCGCGTTGTCATGCGCGTAACAGGTGGCGTTCTGTGACACCCTCAAGGCGCTGCTGACGGGGCTGCTAGCCTACGTGCAGGCCAACCACAAGACCGGACTCGAGTGGAACCCCAAGGGTGGCGACTGCGCGGCCTTCTCCGGCGCCGGAAGCGCGCCCCCCGCACCACCTGCAGGTGAGCGAGTAAGGGGTTGAGGGATACCGTATACTGTACGAAAGCCGTTGCGGTAGGGTGGTAGGGTGGATGGATGCTCATGGTCGTCACGGTTTTGGGGAGGGGTGATCACCCACCAGTCGGTTGCCTCAGAGTTGCATTGCACTAGCCAGATGAGTGTGTGCGGAGCGCGAGCCCGAGGTGTGAGACGGTTTGTTTGCACCTACTGTAACCGTTTCGTGGCTCCTTTCCCTGTCTACTGTGTATGCATGTTGTTGCTGTGACCCCGGTCGTCCACACAACGAGAGAGTAAGCGAAGCAGGGGGAGGGGAACGGCGAGAACAAAGAAAACAATAAGAAAAGCGACAAAGTTATACTTTATCCGTGTAGGTGCCCGTCCCGTGCCGTTGTTGTTTTGTGCAGCTAACTTGTCGTCTAACCTCGACCCCCCCCTAAAACACCCCGTCGCAACAGCTGCCAGGGCCGCCGCTCCTGCGCGACCTGCCATGGGTGGCGGCAGCAACGCGCTTTTCGGCGAGCTGAGCAAGGGCCTGGCGGTCACCTCTGGACTAAAGAAGGTGACGTGACCTGTTTTAGTGTTTTGGTATGTCTAGCTCGTATCGGTTGGCGTTGTAACGGTTAAACGTGACTGGCAGCACATGTTCTGGGCGCTTGTGCCTGCCTGGGTTTGGAATGCACCGACTACGCTGTTTATTTTTTTTCTTCCTTTTTTTAATTTATCGGCGGCAATGCTGATTCTGACTGTGGTTGTCTTAAATCATTTTTTGCAACAGTAGGAAGGAACGATTGGGCATCAGTGATCGGTTCTGCGTCGAAACCGTTCAGGGAGGTGTCCGCCAACCAGCCGCAACCACCCCTCGCTTGTGTGCTTTTTCTCTTTCCGTGAATGTTTGTGGTTTTCCCCTCCGCCACGAGGAGATATCACCCGACCACAGGGTATGTGGTTTCCGAACTATTCCGCGGCGCCCGCGCACCTCACGGCTTTCTTACTCTCACACTGCAGTTTCTTTGTTTTCCCACCTTGGTTGTGTCCAGGTTACGAAGGACCAGCAGACGTGGCGGAAGGAGTTCAAGGCGGATGAGACGGCACCGGCGCCTGCCGCGAAGGCCGCACCGAAGCCCTTCGCTTCCGCCAAGGCCGGGGTAAGGTGGCACACAATTGACTCAAAGCAACGCGTTGAGAGGTATTTTGCATCACTTCTAGGTGACCTTTGCAGACCCATGGCGAGCGATACCGATAGGGTGTGCGTTTCATTTCGGGTATGTAGCATTTTTTAATTTTCAGGTTTGGGGACGCAATGGTACACGTTTCGCAGGAGGCGGGGGATTTGGCGAAGGTTTGCGGTGCAGCAGTTGGGTCTTGGAACGGAGGTGCAAGAGTGCGGTGCATTTGCAGATGGGATTTGGCTTTTGTGTTCGATGCGGATACTCTCATTTTCTCTCTTTCGAGGCAAAAGGGCGAGGGAGCACAACATTGGCCGAGCTCGACGTACTTTTGGGTTTGTCTGGGTATGTCCCTTGTATGTGCAGCCGCTGCCTCTTTGGATGACAAGCCTCGCTGGGTCGTTGGTTCCGGGTGTGTTTTGCGCCTCCATTCATATTTTCCACCTGTTGTTCTTTCTCTCTGGGTGTACATCTAATGCGACGGCTTGGGCCATTGTAGAGCTTGACCGACCTCCCTATGGAACTTAATACCCCCTCTGTGACAATTTCCTCCCTGGTCTTACCTCATTTTTACCTTTCGATGTACATGTCGATGCATTGGGCCATGCGACCACTGAGGTTTTTACGTTTGATGTCATACCGTGTTGCCCTGTGCAGCCCAAGGGCCCTCCTAAGCTGGAGTTCATCCAGCAGGGCATGAAGTGGATCGTGGAGAACCAGGGGTCCAGCAGTGGCGTGGTGACGGTAGAAGTCACCGACAAGAAACACCAGGTATGTGATGTACTGTGCTGTACACCATGCACAACATGCATACGTGCTCTTGCGGGGTTGAAGACAAGTGGTTTTTGGCGCTGGCTATTTTCTCATACTTGAATCCAATACTCCTAAAATATGAAGCAAGAAAACACCCTGGTTCTTAGTGCTGATATAAGTAGAGGTCACCAACAAGAAGCACCAGGTATGTACTGTACAACACCATACATGCGTGCTGCTAACGGTAACGGTCCGGTTTTTGTGGGTGACTTGTCCACCGCATCACTGGGTGGGGGGGGTTGTGTTGGTGTGGCCTGAAGGGATGTAGAAAATGGCCGATGCGATGCGCGTTGTTTTGTTGCCATGGGGCACGAAAGCAGGCGGAAACTGCGGCGGAATTGTTGTGGTTTGTCGCTTCAATTGCACGACCTTCCCGCATTGAAGCAAGTACTCTCTTTCTTGATTTATATCTAGGTGTACATCTACGGGTGCGTGGACGCGACGATCGACATCAAGGGCAAGTGCAAGATGGTCGCCATCGACGGCTGCAAGAAGACCAAGGTGTGACCAAGGTCAACATTTAGTCTCAATCGCATTGTATCTGTATACCCACGGTTCGGATCACCGAATTGTTCGACCGAAAGGGTTGCTGTTGAGTTTGACGTGAGGCACTGGGTGCCCTCCGGATGCTTGTCGGACAAACGTGCCCAACCGCGAAGTGTTGCCTTTCGGCGAAGTGACATATGCTCTGAGGGATTGCGTGCTTCTTTGTCCCCGCCCGACACTGGCTGCTATTGTTGGATTTTAATGTGATTTTGTTCTGGCTTCCCGTTGTCATGTTGTCGACAGGTTTCCATAGCACCTCTCCAGATGGTTGCCGAGGACTGTAGATTGTACTCCGTTTTTGACGAGCCACGACGTCGTTTACTCATAACCGAGGCGCCTTTCCTCCCTTGAACTGCCTCAACCGACACGCCACGGACAAAGGTTCTGTTGGACGACGCTATCTCTTCGGTGGAGCTGGTGAACTGCCAACGCATCCAGGTGCAGGTCCGCGGATCGGTCCCTTCGGTGGCGGTGGACAAGACGGACGGGTTCCTCTGCTACCTCGGCAAGGACGGTCTGGAGACCACCTTCGTCACTTCCAAGGTGGGGGTTTCGCGCATTGTGGTGTATAGAGAAGTATGTAGTTGCGTCCCCAAACCTGAAAAATAAATAAATACCCAAAACAAAAACAAGCAACACCACAAAGCCAATACCGTAATGTTGTATTACGACACTTGCGGCCCTCGTCACTTTTTGGTGTGTGTTGGTTTTGTCTATTTTAGCCTTGTGGTGTTGGAGCAGTAAATAGTCTGTGCAGGGTGTTCGAAGAAACAAATGTATTAAATGAAGTGTAGAATCGGCTAAGCTGGGCCTGGGGCTAGGGCCTGCCCCACCCCTGCCTGGTATGTTTTTGATGTTGAATTACTTTCTTTACGTAGACAGACCCGTTGGAGCGGTGCAGGGCGGGCAAAGTAAGCGGGGAGAGTTCTCTAGCAAATAACCCTGGTCGGTAGGCTTGGCCTTGTCTGCCACGTTGTACCGGATAGCAGATAGCATCATGGAGCAAGAGATTTCTGCTTGTTCTGCTTTCGGGTGCTGCGCGGCAATAAGACCGATGGACGCAATAGCCCCCATGCCACCGTCGTTCCCGTTCCCGTTGATCTACATCATAGCTGCGCCGGTGACATTATCGAGCTCCCTGACACCCGTCCGTCCGTCACACGTCTTGGCTCATTCCCACGCACCTTCCAAATGCATGCTTGCCTGCCCTGGAGCAGTCTTCGGAGATGAACGTGGCCTTCCCCAAGCCGGACTCTGACGAACAGATGGAGATGCCCATCCCGGAGCAATTCGTACACACCATTAAGTTTGACCCCAAGCCGCGGATCACCTCCGATGTTTCGGATCTCTACTCGCACTAAGCACTAGTCTAGATGCCCTGAAATCGCCGCCTTCCCCCACAGTAGAATTGTGATAAGCTTCCGCTGTGATACGGGGATTGAATTGGTGGGATGCATGGGGGGGGCGGCGTTGATTTGGAGATCCATATTGTGTTAATGTCGTCGAGCTTGAGTGTGGTTCATGCTTTTGACTCATGTGTTGGAGTGGCGGGGTGGCGTGTTTGACGCTGCAGCATCCGGGTTGGTTTGGCGTGCTACGGTAGGTCGCCTTCTGGCAATGCCCCCATCCCCCTATATTTCTTTGTTGTCGAGGTTTCGTACGCTAGAGAAGCTCGCCATGTGCATCCAGGGTCGCCGCCAATGGCAAACTGGTGTAGATACACATGTGCTTTGAATGAAATACAAGTACGTTTGAGCAAGACGTTCAGTACAGTTCGGGGGGGGGGGGGCTCAATGAAGCTGGACCGGCCGCTGCTCAGAGGGACCGGCGTTTCAATGCAATCTTCAGCATTATTTGGTGAGTCAGACTGCGCCTAGCAATTTTTGCCGGCGCCACACGGCCGCCGGCAGTATTCAACCGGCATTATTGAGCCCCTCCCCACTTAACCTTTTCGCGATGGTGGCTGCTGTGCACGAGCTTCAGCGGCTCGTGTTGTGAACCATATGGACTCCCAGCTGCCGGTGAAGAGCTACTCGCTTGGACCGTAGTGCCGTACGAGAGACACCCTGTCGACTGACGCATTGGACATCATCACGACAACGAAAATCCCTGTCATCTCTTGTCAGCACGGCCCACCGTCTCAACTCCTCGCCCCTCTGCGGTGCCGTACTGTAGAAAGTTGTCCAACTCATCACCACAGGTAGTATTGTGCTGGAGGCAAACTTAAACTTTGGGCGATCTCACAAGTCTTGTGGCTTCATGGTGTCGACGCATGTGTATATGCCGTGCCCACACGAGTTCCCTGCTACAAGCAGCATCTGAAATGAGGCACCACCACGCTGGCGGCGAGATGCACCGTTTCCGTAAAGAACAGTAGATTGAAAGTCGCAAACCCGTACTGTAGACGCAAGAGCTACACATACCTCCACTTACAGGAATGGTTTTTCATGTGAAGACAACAACAATAACAACAGTTTGTGTAGGCTATAGGTTAGTCTACACATGTAGAGGGGCAACACGCCGCAGGGTGGTGGAGAAAGTGTACTCGCAGGGCCACAGAAGAGTTGTTGGATGGATGGTCCCGGTGCGGTCGGCAAGATGAGCAAGCTGTAGAGAAATGGCTTAGATATCCATTAGAAAAGTCTACGGCGACCGAGTACTCTCTTTTCAGAATGTTCCAATGGATTTTTGGCGTGAGACAGAGCGGTTGGATTTTTATTCGTGGGCGGATCTCGCGAATACGAAGTACATGTTGAACTCCTTACGGCAGACTGTATGCAGAGGGGGGCCTGGTTTTCCCACACACCAGGACACACCTATGGGTTTGCCATCACCCGGGACAGGGGGTTGCAGGGCGGCAGCTCCACGACTTGCGACCGTAGTACCAGCTTTTTTATTGAGGATGAACGATGATGATACTGACTGACGAGTAGATCGAACGGTTCGAGCGTTTGGTGTTTGTTTTTTTGAGACAGGTGTTGCAGGAAGTACGTGCGTGCGTCGTTCCATCAATTTATCCCGTGCGCCCGTCTGCACCTTTCATTTCGTTGAACTGCCATCGAGGTGCCGTCCGTATACGCACCGTGAGAGTGAGAGCGGCCACAACATGCTTCGTTCCCAATCGAATGAAAAGGAGACCTTCTCAGAAATACTGGAAGCCTCCGCCCGGGAAACAAATTACATGCTTTCACAGAGGCGGAAGGTGATGGATCAGACGTGGGACGACATTGATGAGGGATGGCAGGCACTCCAGGAGCATATGACGGAGGTCGGCATCACAAAGCCCTTGGACTTGAAAGAATGGATGGTGATGTTGAATGTTGGCGGATCGCGTCTCACCTTTCATCGTTCAATCTTTGAGGGGAAAGGAGAGCAGCAGGGTTTTCGATTTGGGCGCTGGGGACCCTATGCGAGGCTGAGTGGGACAAGCGCGTTCCTCGTGATTCAGATGGCCGCATCGTGCTTGACGAGTCACCGACTTGCGTCAAGCACCTCGTCTACGCCCTCTTGCCTCGTCCAGCATCAGCCAAGGGTATGGTAGCTCGCGAGGAACGCGATTTAGCCCCCGACGAGAAGCCCGAGCTGCTTCACTATACTGCGCGTGTTCTCGGCCTGCCGGGACAATCGGCTCCCATCGACATGCCCATAACGGGAGGAACAACTATCCTTGAACCTCACGAGGCTAACAGGCTGACTGCGATAGTTCAAGGTTGGTGCCCTGGGCATCCTGGTGGGCTGGAATTGCTCTACCGTGCTTCCCGCGATGGCTGGAGCGCTCGTTCCGTTGA